GAAGGAGAAAGAGAAGGAGAAAGAGAAGGAGAAGAAGCTGATGAATGAGAAGAAAAATAAGAGGGAAAAGAGTAGGAAAAAAAAGTAAGTTAGCACGAAGTTGAAGTATAAGAAGAAAATAGGAATGCGAGAAAGAATGAAGTAGAAAAGCGAAGGGAGAGAGCGTAGAAGAAGAAGCAAGACTAATTTGAATGTGTATGACTTCACTGTTCTACTTTAAACTTGGAAATATCAGAAACTTATTCAGGAAGAGGTATTCGAAAGGAGACATCTAATTATTGATGCTATGATAGACGGTCTGAGTACTTTCTCAGGAATGGTCAGTGCTGTGTTATAACTTTGTTGTTATTATCTGTAATATAAATTCACTCAATGGTTGCATGATGTTCACTGATATTATTGAATGTTCGTTGCATGGACGCTTTTTGTTTCAGAGTGCTTCTTCATTCATCAAAATTAATGGGCTGAATAAATGTCGGCAGGAGGAAATTTGCAACAATTGTCGAGGATTCCTCCTCGAATCGATTGCCCAGTAATCAGCTGCCGGAAAACGATCGAGCAGTGAAAATAAGTGTAGGCTTCATCTGTCGCCTGAACAACACGTACAACGCGGCAATCCATGAGAAGCGATTGATTTCGATGGTCAGACTATTTGGACAGAGAGAGAAAGAGCAGAAAAAGCTTAAAGTTGGAAGATCGTAGCGTCCGCTGGTGTTGGTGGCAGCACGACGATCAGAAATGATGAAGGAATATAATCTATGGAATGCGTTATACAGCAATTATTGCATCGGCAGTTTTAGCGAATTTCATGCAAGGCGTCGAACGACGCGTCGCTTGTGTTCTGACACGTACGTGCAACCTTTCGTCAAAAGAAAAATTTCAAATATTTGCTTCAATGAAAAACTATGCATTGTTAAGACATAATTGAGGTGAACGGGCCTTCGTAACTGTTGAACAACCCAATGTTATGCGTGCGTTTCAATTACTGTAGGTGGCTCATTGAATAGGTCTGAGTACAGTACTTTAAAATTCTATACCTGATGCATGAGGCTGTTAAATTGAACCATAATTGAAAATAATTTCGTTTGATTCATCATGTCTTGAATAAAGGATTCTTTTTCACGTTGTAGTGCGTAATTTGGATTATGAATTGCACGAAGAGACGCTATTCATGGGGACAATGAGTGAACTACCGGAAATTGGCACTCCGCGTCTTGCACCTTTTCGTGAATTTCTCTCAAGGCGGAAGTATTGTAGAAAAGATGTCATCAGCTGAAGGCAGAGTATAAAACTTGCTGTTGTTCCGGAGCACATCACTGATGAAAATTCGGGGGGGGGGCGGATCGATGTGTTGCAAGGCACGAATATTCGAATTCGACGTTGAGGAAAAACAAGAGTCAAGTGAATTCCGCAGCCTTTCTGCTTCACCCGTAATTTCTGAATGCTCAACAGTTGCTACGAAAGGACGCGAACCTCCCAGCTAGTTTGTCCGTTAGCAGTTGCGCAATGCCGTCCCGTTAATCCGATCTTGCTTGCGGTCTTCTACACACGCGCAATTGTTTTGGCCATGATGATGCTGGGTTATGCCATGTAAAATGATGATAAAGTCTTGTCAGATTATTTCTGTTTTATTTGCTAATGTCATCTTCTAACAGCCTTCATAAGCGAAATTCACTGAAGGTGACCAAAAGTAGAGCGGTCCGCAAGATGGAGCTCACAGAACGGTATGACGATGTTTCACGTAACTCATTACACGAGGAGGTGAACACACCGGTG